ACAAATGGTTATGGAGGACTTGTTGCGAGGAGGCTGGAGAGACCCATGGCCTTCAAAACTATCCAAGGCAGTGGTCCCCAACTGTGGGCCTCCAGATGTTCTTGGACTACAACTCCCAGAAGCCTTCGCTGCCACTTCTGCTGGCCAGGATTTCTGGGAGTTGAAGTCCAAGAACATCTGGAAGCCCAAGGTTGGAGACCACTGATCCAAGGGGTTAAACAGCCCATGTGCCACATGACTGCCATCCTATCCTAGTCTATCATCCTCAGCCACCCTACCACACCAGTTTTCCTGCCCAGCTGGGTTTCTGGGAGAAGCTTCAACGGAAATTCATCATAAATGCAGTGCGTCTCCTTTGAATCCAACGGGTTTCGCAAACTCTGCATTCTCTTCATGACCGTAAGCAACAGCTCTGAGAGCAGTGACACCGCCTTTCTGGATGAGGATATCACCAAATTTATTTGAAACAAGGATGTAGCATGCCTCATTTCCCCCCAAAACTCCAGCATGTGTAAACCTATGGCTATTTGGGCTGGGGGTGGCGGGGAGTAGGGAATACACTGGGTGTTTTCCAAAATGGGTGTTTTGCAAGAAACAGGTATCATGCTGAACAAGGGGACAATGAAGCGCTGCACTCTTAAAGGACTTTGTATGCTTAGGAGGCATGTTTCAACACAAAGGTTATTTTCAAATTAAAAGTCTTGTCCTGTCAAAACTTGAGAAATAATATGGGCAAGGACACAAAAGCATTCCATAGCTTTATTAACGACAGCGCTCACTGATCTGTGAATAACCTGAGAGAAAAAAATGAAGATTATTGAGTTACTTTACCAATCTATCCATCCATCACTGGAAAACAGGCCTCAGAAGTGATGGATTATCTCACCTCACCGCTGTTTGTCCCAAACTAAAGATACTCTCCTCGGAGGGAAAAAGGCTGGAGGAGAGAAAACACAACCAACCACAAGCACAGTGAAGGTCTCCATACCTTAACTCCACTCACAAAGATCGATTTTTTTTAAAAAAAGAACCTCAAACCTCAATATAACAGAAATGCATCAGCGAAAATATTTATCCCGCTGTTGTGTTGAAAAATTTCCTACTAGCACAATAAAAGAAACACAGAGTTCAGAAAGTTGCAAATAGAGGAAGCCATCTGAGGTCAGATTAGACTACGCTCTGGCTGGCAGCAGCTTCCCCAGCTGATCGGCCGTGATGTTTTTGGAACCACCTATATCTGACCTCAGATGCTGGGGACTGAACCTTCTGCACACAAAGCATGCACCAACCTATGGCTATGAAGTACGAATCTTTGTGAATCATCCGAGACATCTATAGTGAAGTTTCAGACAAGACGGTCTGAAGTTTTTAATCCCAATTTATGGGACTCAGTGGGGAGATCATTTTAGTCTATGTTCTTTTTAGTTTTCATAACCTAACCCGAAAGGTCTTCTTCCGCACAACCAATGGGAAACAAGACAAGATGTTGCTGGGTGCCATCAACATACAAAATGTAGCCCAGACCTCAGAATGACACTGACATCCAGGAGCTTTCATGTGGGTTTTATCACTAGGTCAGCCTACAAATCATGGAAAAGACCAAAGGGAACAAAAAAGGGGATTCACCAGGTACCCAAAAGAACACAAGGACAGCATCAGACAAACCTCCCTGGAAATGTTTGGTACTGCTACTAAAAAGACCCTCTTTTGGCAATCTTTGGGGTGCTCTTTATAGAGCCCTAATGGGTAGCAAGACTACACCTTCCACAAAGACCCAGACTTCCCAAGGAAGCACTGTGGCAGTTTCACTTTCACATAGGAGGTAAGTCTGAAACAGACAGAAAGACTGCCCCTGTTCTAGGACGGGTGAAACACAGGAAATAACTTACATGGGTAGGAATTCCCAGAATTCTGGCTAGGGAATTCTTGGACAATACAAGGAAACTGAGTTTTTTTTTAAAAAAATCACCAAATGGTTACACAAATGTAAATACTTCCAGATGCTCACAGATAGTTTAGTTATAGTATACAGCATACTGATAAAAAGGGACAGGATGGCGCTGCAGGTTAAATTGCAGAAGCTTCTGCGCTGCAAAGGTCAGAAGACCAGCAGTCGTAAGATCGAATCCACGCAATGGAGGGAGCTCCCGTCGCTTGTCCCAGCTCCTGCCAACCTAGCCATTCGAAAGCATGCAAAATGAGAGTAGATAAATAGGTACCACTACACTGGGAGGGTAACGGCATTCCGTGTCTAGTGGCGCTGGCCACGTGACCACGGAACCTGTCTTCGGACAAAAAACGCTGGCTCTATGGCTTGGAGACAGGGATGAGCACCGCGCCCTAGAGTCGGACACGACTGGACTAAATGTCAAGGGGAACCTATACCTTGACCTATACTGATAAAAGACTGAAAAATGAAGCAAATTGAAGCAAAACTAGCTTCTGATTCAAACTGGGAAGGGAAACCAAGGTGATCTGCACAGCTCCTGCCATCACTAGAGCTTTTCTGTGTCCCTACAGCAGCATGAAAAAGGATCCAATTTGTTCTTTCCTTGCTTAGGGGGAAAGGCTGATCATATTCACTCAAACCCTTCCCATAGTTCGAGGGAACACTGCAGAGTTTATGCAGAATTTATTCGGAGTGCAAGGATATGACTTACAAATGTCTTTGAATCATTCACATAAATATGCATGCATGCCATTTATAACAGTAGCCTTGATGAGAACACACAGGGTAACTGACTGCAAGGAACGCTTAAGAGGGTTACATTAAAACAGAATATGAAGAGGTGGTTAGAAATCACAGGACAAGTGACACCTTATTCTGATAACCCGGTGATAAAAATTGTAGGGTATGATGTATAGTCAGGGATGTTACCACTTGGTAGCCTAGCTGAACAGTATTCCTAGAAGTCTTAAAACACTGTTCTGAATTAACAATACACACTGGGATGAAGAAGGCCACACATCCAGGAAATAACATCATTACAAGTTGCAATCTTTGAAAGGAAGAATAAACTACTATCTGAGTTGACTTAGGCAGGCACGGAAAGAGTGTCTGAGGAAGTTAATGTGAATTTTGTTATGACAAAATAAATATATTTAATCTGTAATGATTGACTGATTGGATGGATGGATGGATGGATGGATGGATGGATGGATGGATGGATGGATGGATGGAT